CCTTCCGGAAACTCCAAAGAAGAAGTTAATTAAGAAGAAACCATCACCACCTGAAGCAGACGAAGCTGAGGAGAAGGCTGGAGATCTCCAAGACCAAGCGCCTTCGGCACCAGATCTTGAAGGTGCCACTGACAAAGCGGACGATCTCCCGGAAACTCCAAAAAAGAAGATAATCAAGAAGAAACCATCACCGCCTAAAGCAGATGAAGCCAAGGAGAAAGTTGGAGACCTCCAAGACAAAGCACCTTCAGCACCCGACACCAAGGATGCCTCTGGCAAAGCGGAAGAGAAGGCTGGAGATCTTCAAGACCAAGCGCCTTCAGCACCTGACACCAAGGATGTCTCTGGAAAAGCGGAAGAGAAGGCTGGAGATCTTCAAGACCAAGCGCCTTCTGCACCCGACACCAAGGATGAGCCTCAACAGACTCCAAAGAAGATGATCAAGAAGAAACGACCAGCGCCAGATGCTAAGCAGGCTTCTGGCCAGGCCGATCAAGCCAAGGACGCTCCAAAGAAAATTATGAAGAAGAAGAAACCGTCCTTGGCTCCCGGTACAGAGAAGAGCGATTTACCTGGGAAAGACGATGCTCCAGGCGCAGATAGCCTCCCGGGACAAGACGATCTTCCACCTAAGGACCTCCCAGACACCGAAAATCTTCCCGAGAAAGACAATCTACCATCTAAGGATGGTCCAGACTCGGAAAATCTACCAGGAAAGGACAAACTTCCATCAAAGGATGATCTGCCAGGAAAAGACAAGACAGATGACCTTCCAGGAAAGGAAAACGCACCCAGTACAGATGACTTGCCAGGAAAAGATAAACTCCCAAAGGGAGATAGTCTTCCAGGAAAGGACAGTGTTCCTGGTACTGACGACGCTCCTGAGAAGGATAAAGTTCCATCGTCAGACAGCCTCCCAGGGAAGGACAACCTCCCGAATACGGATGGTGTACCAGGTAAAGACAAGACTCCAAACACAGACAACCTACCTGGCAAGGATAACGCCCCAGACACCGAAAACCTTGACGAGGCCAAACCAGATGTTCCTCAGCATAAGTTCAAGCCATCTGTTCCAAAAGAAGGACAAGAGCCGCAGAAAAAAATCATAAAGAAGGCGCCTCCACCTGTTCAAGAGCCCGAGCCTGAGCAGGACTCTGAGCAGGACTCTGAGCAAGAAGAAGAGCAAGAAGAAGAAGAAGAAGATGATGATGAGGAGCAAGATTCCGAGGATGAACATGAGCAACATCAGGAGCAGAGCGAAAGTGAACAAGATGAAGAGGATGAAGAGGATGATGATGAACACCAAGATAGTGATGAAGAGGAGAATGATACTGTCCACCACGACAAACCTGCCCACCACGAAGCCAATGGCGTCGGTCAAGACTCACCCTACCACTCCGATGAACAGGAGGCAGAAAGCGGCAGTGATGAATACGACTACGAGGACTCCAACGTCTCGGAAGATGAGGATGAGGAAGAGGATGAGGATGAGGACGACTCACCTCTGAACGGTGCTCCACTGGACAAAGCTCAAGATGCCGCTGGTGATGCACCGAAGAAAGCTCAAGATGCCGCCGGCGATGCACCCGAGAAAGGACAGAAAGCTTTGGGTGAGGGAGCTAAGAAAGCCCAAGATACCGCTGGCGATGCACCGAAGAAAGCCCAAGATACCGCTGGTGATGCTGCTGAAAAGGCAAAGTCGACTGGTGAAGATGCTGGTGACAAGGCAAAAGACGTGGCTAGCAGCGTTGTCCCAGGAGAAGTCATAGATACGCTCGAAGACCCTTCGGAACTTCTCGGAGCCCCAACAGACAAGGCGTCTAAATCCACCGAAGGCGCTCAAGACAAGGCATCAAAATCTACCGGCGATGCGTCCAAGAAAGTCAACGGCGTCAAGGACACGCTTGGAGACGCAACCGACAAAGCCTCCGACTCCGCAAAAGACACCGCCTCTGAGTCTCAGGACGGTGGTAAGCCGGGTGATGTGAGCGTGGATCAGAAAGATGGACAGATGGTCGTCAAGGCTAATACTGGGGAAGCTGGGGCGGGTGGGATTCAGATTTCGGTTAATACGACGAAGGAGGGTATTAGTCTTACGATTAACATTCCTGGGTCTTTTCAACAGGGGTAATTGTTTTCTTTCTTTGACTGGGTGAGTGCAACGGGATTTGGACGGATGGATGGTTTCAAGGGTTGTTTCTTAAATATTGTATTATGAATGGTTTAATTATAGTCAGTCAGTGTGTTTATCTTACCTAGTGTTACAGTACAAAAGTACCTGAATTAAAGTCCTTTCTACATATACGGTTCTTCTCCATATTCTAAAATATCGTGAGTCGTGACTTCCCTCCTTAATCAATCAGCAGTCAGCGATCAAAAGCACGTGCAAGTACTCAGCTTTTACTCTATCTCCCTCCCTTACAAAATTTCCAAAAGCCCCCCTCCTTCAATTGCAAAACTTGAGCCACACCAAGCGGGGCAGGACAAGCAGCACGCACCCACCACGATTAGATCCGATCCTAGTCCCCACCCCACATAACATACAGGCATACGGAGTACATGCATAAACATATGATGTAACATCCCACCCACACTTCCCAGGGCTTCCCACACTATCTTAGCATTACTCCGTAAAAAACCTGATATCAGTTAGCTCCATGTGGCGAATTCACTCGAGCTCCCCTGTCGATATTTGGGGAATACGGACTGTACGTGGCTGGTGAGTGAGCAGCTTTGCACTAACAAACTATCCTTGACTGAAACTTGATATCAAGCCACGTTATATTAAGTATGACGGAGACGGGATAGAGGGAAAGTCTATCTTGGCTTCGTTACGTGGCTGGTGTGATTGAGTGAGTGAGTGAGTGAGTGAGTCAGGAAGTGTGTGAGTGAGGAAGTGTGTGTGTGTAACAAGTGTAGAATGGGAAAGTAGGGGTGAGAGGGCGGAGGGGTAGGTGGGAAGGAGGTACTTACTAGCAGATTACTTTGATTTCTAGCCCAGCCCTGGCATACTGGGTAGTACCTACATACCAAAGATTCTAGATTCTATGAGTATAGTATGATCTGAGAACTATCTACGGTACCGAGTAGCAACAAACAGCAAACAGCAAACAGCAAACAGCATTACAGTACATTTCACCTCCTACATTACGCAGGCGCCAGATACACATTTTCTCTCTTATTACGCTTACGGATCGAGTAGAGGGAGTGGAGTGGACTATCTTGATATAGAAAGTGAAGAAAGATGATTCAAACTCTACTGCTGTGTTTTATACATGGGTTTAAGGGGGATGATGAGACGTTTTTTGAATTCCCACGGGTTAGTTTCTCATTTATCTGTTTATCGTTTTATTGTTTTTAGGGTTTTCTTTTTACTTACGTGTAATGTATAGGATCTGAAGAAATACGTCCAAGAGACATCCCCCGAGCTTCATGTGAGCACGGCTGTTTACCCCAAGTATGAGACCAAGGGGGATTTGGCCGGGTGTGTGGAGACTTTCCGCGAATGGTATGTACCTACCTACTTGCAAGACTTGTTCTGGTGTTTATATACGCCTACGGGGGGGAGGGGAGGGAGAGTATGGAGTAAGAATGTTGATGTTTGTGTTTTTGCAGGTTACAAGATCAAGTTACAGATCTAGAGACAGATGCTGCGACACCGTCAGCTATATTGAATCCTTCGGTTTCGGTTATATTGTGTGCGCATTCTATGGGGTAAGTCCTTAAAACCACTGGAAGGTTAGGAACTCAGCTAATAATTAAATCCATCCAGCGGTCTCGTAGCAGCAGATACCCTCTTCTCAGTCCTCTCCAACCGCCCAACATGCATCTCCCCAGATCCCAGCACCCCGCGCCTCATGTTCCCTCTCGTCCAAGGTCTGATCTCCTTCGATACGCCCTACAACGGACTCGCGCGTAGCATGTTCGCCTACGGCGCTTTCTCCCAGTACCAGAATATCAGCGGGGTGTGGAACATCGTCTCCACGCTCTCAGGGGGAATCGGTATGGGAAGTGTAGCCAGCGCCGCGAGCTCAAGCACGGCGACCGGTGCAAGGTCTGCCCAAATAGCCAGCGCCACCGCAGCTGGTTCGCAAGTAGTAGCAAGTCAAGCCGGTTGGAAGCGCTGGCAAGCCCTCGCATCACGAACCGGGACAGCAGGTGCCATCATCGCAGGCGGAGTAACAGCCTACATGCACCGCGAGCAAATCGGCCAGAGTCTACGCAAGCTGAACCGCGCAAACATCTCGTCCTCACTGTCCCGCGATAACCTCTCCCAAGGCCTGTCGTACGTCAGTCGCGAGAGCATCGGCGACGGCTTCACGTGGATGGCATCGCATCTGAAGTTCGTCGGCGCGCTAATGAAGCAGGAGCAGATGACGACGCGGCTGGAACGCCTGTCGGCTCTGAAAGGTGTAGGGGTGGTGAATCTGTATACTTCTCTAGGGGAGAACGGGTATTGGAGTGGTGGGTATTTTGTGCCGAAGCGGACTTTCTGTGCGGTTCCTGCAGAGGGGGAGGGCGAGGGAGGGGATAAGAGGAGGTTGTTTGTGGAAGTGCCGAATACGAAGGCTGCGAATGAGATCGAGGCTCATTGCAGCATGTTCCAGCCCGAGAAGAACTCTGCGTATGAGGATCTTCTGACGAAGACGGGGGAGTTGGTGCGGAAGTGGGTGGGTAATGATCCGAGGAAGATGGTCGATGATTATCAGCCGGACGCCAGACAACGCGCCATGAGCATTACGGAAAGTGAAATTTTGGACGATGACGGGAAGATGAAGCAGGAGGAACCTGCATCTGCATCTGAATTTGGATCTGGAGACACGGCTGCGGAGAATGACAGTCAGAAGGTTGTTTCCGAGGACGATAAACAGCTTCAGGCCATCTTGTCCTGTCAAGATCTCCCGCAACCTGAAGACGGAGGCATTACCGACGAGGACTTGAAGCAGGCGCTGGAAGTCCCACTTCCTGTGGAAGAGACGCTAGATCAGGCTACTGAGGTGTCATTGCCGGTTGATGATTCTGGGTTGAAGGAAAAGGGGAAGAGTTGGGTTCCTGCCATGCCTGGTATGCCTGGTATGCCTGGTATGCCTACCATTCCTTCTATGCCGAATATGCCTGCTATGCCGGCATATCTGAAGCGGAAATGAGTATATATATTCTTCCTTCACTTTACCTTCATCGCCTTGTCTTTATAGCAGATATTCCATAGCAAGCTTATAATCACTCAATGAATAGACGTATATTAAAAGTTTATGCATTTCCTGCTAGATCGACCTGATAGCTAATGACCTTATATATCACCATTCCAACCCAGTCCAAACTCCCAAACCCCATCCCAAATCTCCCTTTATATATTTCCTATCCTTTCCTTTCCTTGCAAGCCTTCAACATCACATCTAGCTACTGGCGAAC